CCCGCCCTCTTCGGCGGAAACGACGCCCCTTTGGCTCGGGGGCGGGGTCAGCGCAGCCCCGCCCCCTCCGCCGGAGCAATTACCGTGTGGGGATACAGGGTACACATTGGGGGAGCACAGAACACTGTGGAAGCCCCCGGAGCGGCTCCTGACCCATCCCTGAAGGAAGTGCTCCAGAGGGCGCGCCCAGACTGTGTGGTTAGAACACAGAATGAGGTGGTGACCATAGCAACAAGTTGGAGAAGGGACAGACGCTAAACCACGAAGTTCTTTACAAGACGTATTAAGGAGTTCAGGCTTGGATTTTAACGCAAGGGAAACAGATGAAGAGCTTTAAACAGGTGACATGACCTATTGCATTTTTGAAAGATCACTCTGGTGGCAGTGTTGCAGATTGGATTGGAAAATGCAAAGATTAGCCCTGCTGGTGTGGCTCAGTGGTTGAGCATCGACCTATGAACCAGGAGATCACGGTTCGATTCTCGGTCAGGCCACATGCCTGGGTTGTGGGCTCGATCCCGTGTAAGGTATGCAGGAGGGAGCTGATCAAGAATTCTCTCTCATCATTGATGTTTCTATCTCTCCCTCTCCAAGATTCAATAAAAAAATTTTTTTTAAATGTGGATGGGTTGAGATAGAATATCATAATTTAAAGGGTGGACAAAGGAGATTAAGATGTAGCCAGAGGGGGTGGGGGGAAACCAGGTGTATGGTGTCATGCAAACCAAAATAAGAGTATCCCAAGAAAGGAGTACCAACAATGTTAAATACCCCTTCCAAGGTCAAGGAAGACAGGACTAAAAGTATTTACAAGGTTTATAATCAGGGAGGTCCTGGTGACCTTGGTAAAAGCCACCTCAGTGGCATGGTCACGAGTGAGGAGCAGGGCAGACGAATTGGGATACACGTGGGCCAAGTTTGTGGTGGAAGCAGGGGTTACCTAAGCCTATGCTTTAGGTCTGGGTGTGAGAATAGAGAATGCTTGCTGGAGTACTCAAGGACAAACGAGTTGCCAGATGGAGGCAGAGAAGGAAAATCTAGGGAGAGAAGGCCACATGCACATGAGCACTACATGTGCTGCATGTACTTCTGGGGCGTTAAACATACCTGTGTGACTTTGGGCAGTTCCTTCACCCATTTCCTCCTCAATAAAATGGGGTTATAATATTGACAGTATTTACCTCACACGATTGCTGATGAAGATCAAGGTGATTTATGTGGAATACTGGTACACATTAGGGACGCAGTCAGTGACCATTCACACTCCCCTCATTATAGCATCACAATGAAACAATACTTCCAGATTTTAAAAAAGGAATTTAATCTTTCTCTAGAAACAGTGCACTGATTTTACAAATGTCCACATTTGCTTTTTAGTTCACCAAGATGATGCCGGTACAGCTAGTGAGACGCAGCACACCACCCGTTGCCTCTGGGAGAGAGGCCAGACTGCAAAGGGGACTGAGGACAGAAGACAATGGAATTTGGAATAACACAAAGAGAGCAGGGATGGTTAGTGTGACCCAACATTCTAACATGCCTGTTACATCAAACATCAAATATGGTAATTTGGGGACATGTGTGTGTGTGTGTGGGAGGGAGACAAACAGGGAAAATTCCTTTGGGTACAATGTGATGGCGTTTGCGAACCAGTACTTCACCCCCAAATTAACAACAGCTTGTATAGAACAAAATGCTATTTTAAAACACATGGTTTGTACAGGTATTTGTTTTCTCTTGTAATTTTTGTAAAAAAAGTATCAAAACCTCCATGTCTTTAAATATATACATATACAGGTGGCTCTTTTAAAATTATTTTTTATAGCACAAAGTATTTGCAAATACAGAGGGTTTTTGCTGACTCCTGACTATGCACATGGTGCATAGCCTGAATGAATAGGGATTCCTGATTTCTTTTTATTGACTGGAAATTTGAAGCTGTAATTCCTCCACCTCTAAGTTCTCCATATCCTGAAAATCCCCAATACCCTAAAAATACCATGTAAAAAGACTCCAATACCTTATCTTCATGCATTGATGGGAAAGGAGATAATTTACTCTGAGCCGGTTAACTGCTAACCATTTCTATTCTGTGAAATGAGCGTATGGCTGACGTTAGGGAGTGAGGTGGGGAGGCTCACATTTCTGTGCCCTCTCCCCATTCCCACCAGCGCCAGACTGGACAGTGCTTGGGGTCCCCTCTGCAAACTCCACGTCTTCAAAACTCCCAGTTTTCTTTCTCTCTGTGGGAGAAATCTCAGAGGCTCTTGGCAACATGGAATGCTTCTGTGAAAATCCCACTGTCCTTATATTAGTTTTCATAGACCATATCACAAAACTTCAACTCGAATATATGAAAAACAGTCACTGTGTCTCTTTGGCCACCGGAAAGCTTGAGGCTCAAGACTGTCATGTCTGCAAGTGCTGGCAACACATCCTGATGAATTTCCCGTGCACTTGGTGCCTCGCACACAGTGAATGACCAAGGAATGTTTGCTTAATTAAATCAGAAGTTAAATAGGAGTATTCTATAAAGTGCTTATGTTGAACCTGTCTTTCCATCCAGCTCATTGCTTGCTACGTCCCCCTTGAGCTTTTTGCTCGTTGTAATGAATTACATGCAGTTCATGAAAGTCCTCATGCCGTTTCATGCCTCTCTGTCTTAGTTGTGTTTCTTCTGCCTGAAGCAGCCTGACGTCCCTACTTAGTTTTTAAGACTTAAGGTCACTTCTCCTGTGGTGGCTTTCTTGACCCCATTATCTTCTTCGGTAGAAATGACCACTTCGTATCATAACATTATTCTGAAAAGAATCTATTCTTTTTTTGTTCCCACATGTCTTCCTCTACTGCCACTGTGAGCGCCATAGGGACAGAAAATGTTTGACTGACCTATACTTCTGCAGTGCCCAACACTTAGCTGATACCTAGCAAATGGGTTCAGTGAATGCATATATTGCAATCGCAAAGAGAGAATTGGAGGGATCCACAGTGTTTATTGCCATAAATTTAAATCCAATCTCATCCTGAGGTTACAGGTTATCTCCATCTATTTTTAAAATAATCATGCCATCAAAAGTAAATAAATGAAATTTTAGTTTTCCCTGTTTCTGGAAGGCCATTTCTGCCAGTGCCTTCATAATCCTGTTGGAAAGATAGGTGGCAGGTTTGGTGCAATGTTCAGGCAGTGCAAAGTAGTCAACTGGAGAAGAAAAGGGAGGAAAAGGACCGCAGCGTTTCTTTTAAATAGAGAAAAATTGTCTGATACACCTTCTGCCCTCTTGGTGTTGTTTCTAAGTGTCCTCCAGCTCTACGTATAGTCCAATGACTCTCTGACCTGTTCCTGACTGTTGGTATATGACGGCATCAGGGCAAAAAGCAACAGAAATGCAACTAAACCTCAGAATGACGCTTAAAGCCTTCAGGGCTAGAGGATGGACTTGAGTCCTCGGATTTCATCTACGTTACTACCATCCAACACGTGAGTATTCCACAATTTGGTTTTTTGTAGGCTGCTCCCATAGCTGCCTCTTTCAAACTGCAGTTGCAGCATATTCAGAAAACATGGGTATCTCTGAGAAAGTTGTGTTTCATCTTCATTTTGAGATATCGGGCTGAATCATCCTGATCCCATTCATTATTTTTCCTGTGAAGGCCAGGATCTGACTGAAAGTTTAGATATTATGCACTAGACACTATTATAATTTCCCCAGGAATTTCTATTTCTTTGGAGGCAGGTTACAGAAAAAGTTGCTTGTTTTTGTGTAAATTTCAATGACTTTTCACTTTCATAATTTTTCTTCAGTCAAAAATTATTTTACTTTTTATTCTTGAAAGAATAGTAGTAAGTGATTAAGCTCCATAGGAGTTGGCCGGATGTTTTTAATATTCTATTTGGTAACGGTCATTCTAAGTCAATGCATCTTTCCCTCTTAATGGACGTTTCAGGACTATCAGCACATACATATCATGAGGAAATTGCTTGTTTTTTCACAGCATAGTGCCCAGGCTCCAGAATACGGTTGTTTTCCCAGAATCTAGCAGATCATGAGTGACGGAGAGAAAGAAAGGTCCTAGGAACAGGGTGACAGAACTCCAGAATGTCTGTCTGGAAATTCAAAGGGTAGCAATGGGCGAGACATCCAAGGTTTACTGAGTTGGGGGCAACTTGGAAGTAGGGGAGAGGAATTTGCTTACATGGGCCAAGTTCCAGGTATGCTGAGGTTAGGTACATGTCCTCTGCCCCTACTGAAGCCAGACACGCTGTGTCACGTCTTGTTCCTGGTTGTCCAGTGGGAGTACAGTGTGGAACAGCAGAGTTAGGAAAAGACCTTGGACGATAGAGCCAGGGGGGACTGAATTCCTTCTGGGACTATTGGATTATGTTTTCAATGGTAGACCCCACAAAGAGAGATGAACACTTCTCCCCGCCTCCCCAAGGCCCAGGAGAGGCAAAGGAAGTGTCCATGGTGAAACAAAGCTGTACATAGACCTAGAGTTCTTCCTTTTATTTACAAAGCAGTAAACCAAACTTCTGTGTGAACATATACCCAGTGTCCTATAATATTGCGGATGCCATTTCCCTCAAATAGGACTTTACGTTTGTCTACCTTTACTGCCTTAAGCCCCACATTAGTTTCATCTATGCGAACACATCATGGCAACAAACCTAAGTATTACTCTTCCCCACCTAAAGGAAATGGGAGAGTAAGAGGGAGAGATGGAGATGTAACAAAACCTATTCCACCATCTTTATCCTCATCCATAGTGCATCCCAGGGGTTCTGTGCCTAAGCCAGTCCCTAGAGTAAACTTGGGCTGTTCTGGAAACATCTCCACTTAGCTCTCTATCAGTAAGGAATTCAGCCTTAATGAATTCAACCCAAGTGCCCTGAAGGAAAATGAAGTTGCTCGAAATGCTGAACTTTAAAACAGGAGTAGCCAAGGTTCAGGCATGTTCTCACCTGAGCTCACGAGGACTTCTGGCACCGTGTAAAGTCTGTACGCTGGCCTTAGCCACATAAGAGAAAGCCCAGGGGGGAGTCCCAGCAGCCACGGTGAGCTGAAGGGCTTTTCCCGAGTCGGGTCCCAGGAATAGCCAGAGTTGGGGAGGTTCCGCCTCTGCCGCTACATGTTTGCACACACCATGGTGTCTGTTCTCTGAGCCAGAGTTCCAAAGGCTAATTCTCTGAAAACTCCAGATACCCTCTGTGGACTGGCTTAAAATATATCTATCGAACAACCGCCATAGGTGCGCCTCTTCTCTAGAGTTTTCTCTTGCACACACATGCAGACAAACACAATGCACACGGAGTCTGTGTGGTGGGCCAATCATACCAAAAATAAATACTCTCATGTCTCTAAATGATTTATAGAACTAATCTTATTTATGAAGTTTGTTAATAAATAATCTAAATTGGGGAGGGAGTTGAGGTGCTTATTTTTCTTTTCTTTTTTATGTTGATGGATAGCCACAAAGCATAATCATTTTATTTACAAAAAAACCCCCAAAACTCCAAAACCTAAAAAAGCCCCCCCCGAAATCAAATATTCTCTCTGTAAATATAGTTTTTAAATGATGAGTAAGCTACTGTACCATCGGCCCCATTTGGTTATGTACATCATGTTAGTCACTCAGCAGTAGCCATTCCATGAATTCCTCATGGGTAGTGCAACCAGTTAAAAAGTGTATAAAACATTATACATATAAAAACTCTCACATCCTTTGGATGTTTGCAGTTCATCATAACTTTGTGGTTACCTTTCTGCAACATAAATTAAAATCACACACGCACACACAGACACGCACACACTCACACACCCATACAGAAATCCTTCCATCCAGGCATACACCATCCAGAGAGTGTAGTGCATGGAACTGAATTCCGTGAGGCATGAAGGGAGTGGTCCCATCCTTAGGGCAGTCCATCGTCTTCAAGGCTTAATGCCACTCGCTGGGGAGACACAAAGAAATCATCGTTAGAACCACAGGAATTATTTGCTGAGTCTGCCTAAGGGCCAGACATCCTATTACTAGTACTTTACAGGCATTGACTCACATAATCTCCAAGCTACCCCACGAGACAGGTTTCTCATATTTATTTTACAGATGAGAAAACTGAGACTTAATGAGCTTAAACATCTGTCCTGGATCGCGTGGCAAGTGGGTGAACTAAAATTTGAACCCAAGTCTCTGTGAACCCAGAGCTTTAGCTTTTTCCATTATTCTGTTCTGCCTCTTTGTCAAGGAGGGCTGCAGAGATCTAAACTCTCTCAAGCCTTTCTTATAGGATTTTCGGTTTGCATATGTTTTGGGTTCGTTTGGGCATATGTTTAACCTCAGGTCATCAGCTGCTTGGCTCTAGCATGTTAGTCACAGCTGGGAAGGCAATCTGCTGCATCCCTCCCAACTGATTACACAGAACTGGAAGGCAATGCAGGTCAATGAAACCCAGGACCTCTTTCCTTCACCCCTACTTTCTAGCCATTAGCTGCTAGACTTCCGTCTGTGACAAATGCCTGACCACTGGATGGTGAACCTGCTAATCCCGGAGCCAGCCTATTCCGTTGTGGACAGTGGGCTTCAATGCTCTCCTATATTGACATGAAATCTGTTTCTTTATCTTCTGATGTTCCCTGATTCTCTCCTAGACTCAGACAGTTCTACACAGACAACACTTGAAATTTGCAGTGTTTGAGTTCCCTTCCTTTGGAATGTTTTCCTCTCTGGCTACATATCTAGCTTTCCCCCGCTGGTCCGGTTGTAATCCTGTTTCCCACTCATCCGTTTCCTGGATGCCCTCCTTGGGACAGACCCGTGTTCCACCATCTTCTCTGAGCTATGTGAACTTGGGCTAACCATTCACCTCTCGGAGCCTTGATTTCATCATTTGTCAAATGAGAATAATAATAGGACCTGCCTCCTAGGGTTGTTGGGAAATCAAATGAGATATTGCATGCAGAGTGCTTAATACATCACTAACACACACATACGGGGTCCAGGGTATTCCAGATCAGCCTAACCAGCATGAAACACAACCAGGCTAGCATTTTCCATCTCTGGACATTCTACATACAATAAAAGGTAACCCCACTGCCTTTCAAATCATCTTTCGGTTATTTGTAGTTTTGCGTGAATGCCATGACCTTGCTCCACTAGCATAGATATTTGAGAGTATCTTTTTCTAAGCCAGTTACCCTCCCACTCTCTCCAGGACAGATCTCCAGGCTGGGGGCAGGCCCCAAGAAGTGCTAAGGGAACTCCTGAGAAAGGGACAGGGGAGAGAACAGGTTGTTGAGAATACTGGCTTCCAGAGCATCAAGGCTATTTACCCCATGTCAGAGGGGAAAGAGCATGGGTTTTTGTGTATATACAGACTGGAGTTTGAATCCTGGTTCTACCACTTCCTAGTTGTGATCCTAGGTGTAATTTATTTTCTGAGTCTCAGTTTCCTCATCTGCAAAATGGGGATAATAATATCAACCTTATAAGGTTACTGGAAAGACTAAACAAGAAAATGTATGTAAAACACTGAGTGGTGTCTGATACTTAGTAGGACCTCACGAAATGTGCTTTCCTCACTCCTACTCCATTTCTCTGCAACTGGCAGGAGGTTACTCCTCAGGTCTAGACTCCTCAGGAATAGCTGCTCCTGAATGCTTGTTTCCTTCTCTGGAAACAGTGCCACTTCCCATGTGCGGAAGGGGGATTATTGGTCCCATTTTATAAATAAAAGTGAGCAGAGACGTGACTAAGATCACAGGTTGAGGAATAGTGAAACTGGGAATCATCTCCTCGCCCCAAGCTCATCATTTCTCCCACTGCGCCCTCTCGGACCTTTAAACATTGCTTCAACAACTATTTGCTCGGATTGGCCCGGGCTAAGGCTCCTCAGGCCACCTGCTAGCCCTGCTCACTTGCTCAGCCTCATTTCCCCGGTCTCCCCTTTGGGAACAATCTGCTTCAGCAGCAGTTCTGTCTGCCCTGCTCATCCTCATCATTTCTTCCACATGCCATTTCCTCAGTCTGTACCTACCCCATCGTTTCTCTTGGCGCCAACACCCGGCGTACAGGTGGCAGCCTTCCATGGCCAGAACGCCTTCTAGGCTCGGCTGCACCTGCCTGGGCTCACACCCTCACTCGTCAGCCCCTCGGACTCAGAGTGGCACTGCCCTACCTTGCACTTGACGACAGGCAGCTCGGAAAGAGGGTTCTTCGGGAGTTGGTGCAGCTGTGACCTTGGTTCTCCCGGCAAGACCAAAAGCTCCTTGAGGGCAGGGGCTGGGTCCTCCAGTTCTCTGGTCTCCCCAAGACAGGGCTCTGCCCACAGTGGGCGATCAAAGCTGCTGATTGCCTGACGGGGGGATGGACTGGATGACCTATGAGGTTGCACTCAGCCCCCTCACTGCTATACAACCATGGCACCTGCTTCCGCTACTTGGCAGTCCTTGCTCCCCCAACAAGCCACGCCCTGTTGTGCCTCAGCTTCTGCACGTGCTTCTTTCTGGAATGCCGTTTTCCTCCTTCTCTACCTGGAAAACTATTACTCTTTCAGCTTATCTGTCACCTCCTCCGTGAGGCGCTCCCTGCCAAAGCCCCCAGACCGAATTAACAGCTCCCTGTTGATTTGTTCAACAAACATTCACTGGGAGCCACCTATGCTGCACGGGCATCAGGGAAACAGATTAGTCAGATTGTCCTACCCTCAAGGAGCTCACGGTCTAGGGCAGCGGTTCTCAACCTGTGGGTCGCAACCCCTTTGGCAGTCGAACAACCCTTTCACAGGGGTCGCCTAAGACCATCCTGCATATCAGATATTTACATTACGATTCATAACAGTAGCAACATTACAGTTATGAAGTAGCAACAAAAATAATTTTATGGTTGGGTCACAACATGAGGAACTGTATTTAAAGGGCCAGAAGGTTGAGAACCACTGGTCTAGGGGAAGACCAAAGAGTAAAAAGACCAGTTGACCAGAGTGTGACATGCTACGATGGAGAGAGGCTGTGGGAGAACAGAGAAAGCCAGGGAAAGTTTCCTGGAAGAGGGACTCCTGAGCGTCCACCATGGCGCTTGGCACACAGCTGTGCAACAGGAAGTGAGATCTCTAACTCCCGCCCGCTCCTTGGGAGCAAGTGCATTCTCACTCGGCAGAAAGACAGGCACTTGGTGTCTTTACTTCCAGAGAAGCCTGCTACCTACTACCCCAGCTACTGGCCCCAATATCTCCGTGTCCCCGGGGCCTAGAACAAGTGCCTGGCACATGGTAGGTTCTTGATA